CAAATTTCACTGAATAAAAAATAGCAGGTTCCCATCTCTGATTTCTGTTTATAAAATGGATTTGTAAATATAAATTTTGACAATAAAATGAATAATTTAAAAAAAATGTAAACAAATGATTGATTGACTTTACCTACTTAATTCTACCATGAATTAATTGTACAATAATGTTTTCAGATTTTTTTTTTTTTTTTGAAGAAGCTAAAACTGGAATTCGGCATATTTTTGAGTCAAATATGATAACGAATATGTTAAAATGAATAGAAATAGAAGTTTATCTAAAATTTTAGGAAATATTGTGAAAAATGTCACACTGACAAACAAGAGATTCTTGAGTTTGTCTCGTGTAAACGTCATTATAGAGTGAATGTGATTAGCATATGTTTAAATTACTCTAAAATTGTAAAAACTCTAATGTAAACATACTATTATAGTAAAATGTGATCATGGTCGAAGAATACAGGTAGTCGCATCGACACAGCTGCTGGGACAATGAACTGTCAAACTGATTTTGAAATTGAAAATGTTGAATGAAAAATTATTGAAGATTGTAAAAATTGTTGAAAAATACATATTTTATCAACCAGCGATTCGCGTCGTATAAGAAAACATATAAAAATCTACTTATTTTTGACAAAACATTTTGCAAATTTTGACATATCATTGTTCCCAAGCGTTGATGCATCTACCTATATTCTTCTACCATGGGTAGACGCATCGACACAGCTGCTGGGACAATAAACTGTCAAACCAATTTTGGAATTGAAAATTTTTAATGAAAAATTATTCAAATATGTTTGACGTCGTATAAGAAAACATATAAGAATCTACTTATATTTGAAAAAAAAAAAAAAAAAACATTTTAATTTTTTTGACATATCAATGTTTCCAAGCGTTGATGTATCTACCTGTATTCTTCTACCATGAATATGATAGGAAATCTATTTCCCATTGACACCATAAACCCAATATGAAGTTTAAATGCAACCGTCATGTATCCCATCAAAAAAAAGTGACACAATAATACCGGGCAAATAAACAATAAATTATTTCTTGTTTATAAACCCAAACTGTCGCTGATATTTTAATAATATATAATGATACTTAAGAAAATATCGGTAGAAGACAACAATTTTTTTTTTCAGTGAATTATTCTACGAAGAAATCAACTGATGACTGATGAGCTTAGGGCCAAAATGGAACAACGTCTACCTAATACTCCTTTGTTACTCTACGAAGAAAACTGTAAAAAAACGTTTTATGTAGGTTCACCTTTAGTTCGATTTTGGTCCCACGCTTCTTTCTTTTCCGAAGAAGTCAGCCGATGATTTAAGCCAGTCAAAAAAAGCCTTTTACGTTTTCTCACCTTTATCAGCCCACCTGAATAGCGTTGTAATTGAGAAAACTTTTATTCATACCTGCGGAATAGGTTTTATATGGATTCGAATGCGGCTCTGACATTCCTTTATGATAGTCACATTTGCCATGCGAAAACTTCAAGCTGCTTATGTACGCAAACCTTAGGTGAACTGTGACGTAAAACATTTTCATTAATGATATCCGGGTCAACTGAAAATTTAAGGTAAATTTAAGGCTTCTTAGAGAATAAAGGAGCGTAGGGCGAACATTGAACTAAGTCAATGGTATAATTAAATCAAGGTAGGCTCATTTCAAATAATAATATCCAGACACACTGTCAAATTTTAGTTTTATTGAAAACGAGTTCCCATCTCTGAATGGTGTAGAAAAAATTGCATCAAGACTAGACATATTAATGTCAAATTATAAGGAAAAAACTACGGCAGGATTTGAGTGCGGCTCTGGCATTCCCTTTGACATGTCACAAAATATGCTATGCCTTTAATATTCCGCTTTAAAGCCTTTTAGTATTTTTTTCCTAAAAAAGAAACAAAACGACTGTTTTGAGTAAAAATAGGGTTAAACTGTCTCAGGAAACAGTAGTCTATAGTGTTACAAACAATATTGCCTAATATCCCGCACATCTAAAATCAGAGGTTTACAAGAAATCTTATAAAATGCCCTGAGAAGAATTATTAAAAACGAATCCAGGGTACTATAGATCGTTTTTTGCCCATTTTAATTTAACTGTTGATCCATGGATATAAAGAGTTTTAATGGCCATAACTAACTTCTAAAACTAGTTGTACTGAAATTGAAAAACTTTGGTACACAAAAATACCTTCTTTATGCCATTCTTTGCAGATATCTTAGCATTCTCAGCGTTATCTGAGTAAATATATGGATTCCAAGACAAAACAATTTTCTATACAATATAAATATCCACACTATCTATTATTTTATGGCTATATCAACAATAATTCAAGAACACATACTTTGTACATGCGTACTTATGTGGCTAAAGCCAAGAAACATTATTACTCAGGGTATAATATTTTTTTTTTCTTCTTACCTCAAGTTCTTTGGCAAATACGTACAGTCATTTTTATCAACAGATATATTTATGTGTTTTCGCACACACACACACACGTATGTGATGTATATAATATATTTGCTATTGAATTTGGCAAAAATATTAAAGACAAAACCTATAGAAAAAAAAAGAGGTTTACCCTCATACCTACCCTACCCACAACACGACCAAGAAAACCAACCTACACACAAAAATGTCACAACTTTTCTGTTCACCAGCCAGCCAGCCAGCAACCGCCGCCGACTGGCTTGGGTGGCCGACCTTGAATTTGAATTTTATTTTGTATCTTGACAATGAAACCAAAAAGAGTAGAATATATATATAAAAATAGATAGCATATCTTAAAGGGGAGATCAGAGAAATGGGGGGAAAGGCGGGTGGATTTTAATGGACACATTTCCACCAACCACTGGACTGTGGCAAGCAAATATTTGTTTAGGTGGCAAAATTAAAAACAAAATATTATTTTTTTGGAAGAAAACATAGATAAGAATAAATCAAAGTTGTTTTTTTTAAATTGGCCTGGATGATTTAATACTAAAGTCTGCCTTTCAACCCGGGTGAATAAAGGTGAGATTACATAAAACGGTTTTTTGACAATTTTAAGTCATCGGCTGGATTCTACGTAGAGAAACAAAGGGTGGAAACACATAAAGCGCATATTTGGCTGGCTTAAGTCATCGGCTGGCTTCTTCGTATATGAACAAAGGAGTTTTAGGTTGACATAGTTCGATTTTGGCCCTAGGCTCCTTTGTTCATTTCCGAAGAAGCCAGCCGATGACTTAAGCCAGCCAGATAAGCGCTTAATGTATTCTCACCCAAAGGTGTTTTAGGTTGACTTAAGGTGAGATTACATAAAGGTGGGAATACATAAAGCGCTTATTTGTCTGGCTTAAATGATCGGCTGGCTTCTTCGTAGAGGAACAAAGGAGTTTTAGGTTGACTTAGTTCGATTTTGCCCCTAGGCATTCTTTGTTCATTTCCGAAAAAGCCAGCCAAATAAGCGCTTTATGTATCCCCACTTAAAAACGCTGTTTTGACGTAAGTCATGGAAGAAAGGAGTTTTAGGTTGACTTAGTTCGATTTCGGTCCTGGGCTTCTTTCCGAAGAAGCCAGCCGATGATTTAAGCCAGCCAAAGAAGCGCTTTATGTATTCCCATCTTAAAACGCTGTTTTGACATAAGTCATGGGCTGGCTTCTTCGGAAAAGAAGAAACAAGCGTAGGGCCAAAATCGAACTAAGTCAACCTAAAACTCCTTTGTTACTCTACGAAGAAGCCAGCTGATGACATAAACCTGTCAAAAAAAAACGTATGTATTGTCACCTTTAGTTCGATTTTTTCCGAAGAAGTCAGGTGATGACTTAAGCCAGTCAAAAAGGCTTTTTATGTACTCTTATCTTTATCAGCCTACCTGAGTATCGTTGTAATTAAGAAAACTTTTATTCTTACCCTCTGAATAGGCGTGAATAGGTTTGAAACTTCTTTGCATTCGAATGTGGCTCTGACATCTCTTTATGATATGTCACAAAATTTTTCAATGCGAAGATTTCAAGCTGCTTAGGGTTACCTGCCAAGCCAGCTGACTGCCACCTGTAATGTCAAAATTATTGTGATTAATATAACAGAACAAAAAGTAAACAAATATCCAACAAAGTGTAAACATGTTTTGAAATTAAATCTGGTTTTTAAAATTTGCGGGAACACCTTGTTATTGCACTGTGCTTCTATCATGGTAGAAGAATACAGGTAGTCGCATCGACACAGTTGCTGGGACAATGGACTGTCAAACCAATTTTGGAATTGAAAATGTTTTATGAAAAAATTATTGAAATTTATAAAAATTGTTGAAAAATGCATGTCATAACAACCTCCGATTGACGTCATATAAGGCAACATATAAAAATATACTTATTAAAAAAATTAAAATTATTTATTTTTGACATATTAGTTTCCCCAAGTGTTGATGCACTTTCCTGTATTCTTCTACCACGACTCCTATTATGGTAGAAGAATTCAGGTAGCAAAATCCAAACAGCTGCTGGGACAATGAACTGTCAAACCAATTTTGGAATTGAAAAATTTCAATCAAAAATTGTTGAAATTTGTCAAATCTTTTGAAAAATTCATATTACAATAAGCTCCGAATAGCTTATTATAAATATCGACCTGCATTCTTCTACCATGGCTTCTATGCATCCTGGCTAAATAGGGCTTTACTCTCAGGAAAACTTCTTCTCAACTCATTACTTTAATATTATCAAATCATTGTTCGTGTTTACATTGCATTTGGCTCCAATTATGTTTGATTTTTTTCTCTCTCTCTCTCAACCACACAGACTCTCATACACCCTTAGCATATTCTTACATCTTGTCATTCAATCATTCATAATCATAATAACGGAAAAACATATTTCTTTCGTTTTTTTTTCTTTCTCCCTTTGTTTCGCCCGCCATTTCTTTGTTTCGTTATTATTGTAATTTTTGCTTAATGGCAAAACTTCAGTATTAAAACCCCAAAAATCTTATACTTACAACGAATCCTTTAAGCACCATGTCTGGCCCTACCCGACTACTACGACGATTATTATGATGAATTGGAAACGGCCAGTGGTGGACCGCCGGAGCCTTTAATTAAATTGGATAATATATTTGTGGACCCACCTTACTTCGAAAGAGCGGAAATTGAAATTTCGGCCGAACCAAATGCGGATGTGCTAATGAATTGTGACGTCAAGAATTTTCACGGTAAGTAACCCAACCGGAGTGGAGTTTGTTGCCAAAAGATACAGAAAAAAGGCAAATCATTTAACTGTTTGTTTAACTGATAGCAAGCGAACTGCTTTGATAGCGGTGTTTTTCCGTTTCATTTATTCATTTTCCTTTTTTTCGATTTCCATGTTCCTGTGCTGCACACACGTATGTGTGTGTGGCTGTGTGTTTGCTTTCTTATCTCACCGACAGCAAACAATGTCGTCATCTGGTATAAGGATCAAACTGTCATTGTAAACGGCCAACACTCAATGAACGAACGCTTCGAGGCCTTAAAAAATAATTCAATTGTCTTGCGAAGTGCTCAACTGGATGATGAGGGCAATTACTTCTGCACCGTTCTGCCGCAGAATATCACCCAAAACGTTGTGCTGACAATCGAGAAGGCATTTAGCATACGCTGCGATGGTCGCGATGTCTTGGATCGCAGCATTGTCTATAGGCAGGGTGAATCTCATGTTTGTGAATGCAAGAGTGCGGGCGGAGAGGAGAGCAACATTAAATGGTTTTTGAATGTAAGTGGAATAACGAATGAGACGATTCAATTAAAATATAAAATAATGTTGACAAAAAGCTTCAATGTAGGTAGCTGGCAGAGTTGGTTCTGTGATAATCTAACAATAAGTAGTGACGAATCCGTGTAAGATCTTTTTAGCTCTAGCAATAATGGGTGACTCCGAGAAAGATAATATTAAGCGTAAAACTATTGGTTATTCGTAGTCACCCTGTTTCGTGTGAAACTACACTTTTAAGATTGACGCAAGGCATTATTAAACAAATCGTAATGAAATTCATTTTTAAAAAGCCTTCGATGATTAAATGTCTGAAAATAATCCTTCTATCCAGCTGGGCTGACAAAAATACGAAAATTTCAATTTCGACTATATTTTCTTTATTTCTAGAACCGTAAGAATGTAAGATCATTTTAGCTTCAGCAATAATGGGTGACTCTGAGAAAGATAATATTAAGCGTAAAACTAATGGTTAATCGTAGTCACCCTGTTTCGTGTGAAACTACACCTTTAAGATTGACGCAAGGCATTATTATTTGTTTAATGAAATAATGAAATTCATTTTTTAAAATCCTTCTAAGCAAATTTCGATGATTAAATGTCTGAAAATAAACCTTCTTTCTATCCAGTCGGGCTGACAAAAATACGAAAAAATCAATTTTGACTATATTTTTCTTTATTTCTAGAACCGTCGTTCATCGGACGTTGAGTTGGAGATTGAGGATAATGCAATTTTCATTGACCCCGTCGATGAACATCATGCCGGTATATACCAGTGCATGGATGATGATGGTTCACCCACACCCAAACATGGCAGATTTGAGGTGATTGTCTACTATGCACCCAAGGTGTCGACACACCGTCATCATGTCAATACCGAACTGGGTGGTATCGCTGAACTGTATTGCGACTATCGCAGCCATCCCATAGCCACTACAAGATGGCTGAAAAATAATCAGTATTTAAGTTTGTCGGAGAAGTACATGATGAGCTATGCGGCGGAGCAGCATTTCAATCGCAGCACTTTAACAGTTCGTGATGTAGCTGTGGAGGACTTGGGCGAATACAAATGTCAAGCAGAGGTATGTTCGGAGATTCTTTCATTTTAATCCAAATATATAACTCCCCCTGTTTTCAGAACACCATTGGCTCCAGCGAAATGAAAGTTCATCTGATGTTGGAACCGGAACGTGGCCAATTTGAAAGTGTCGAAATCAACGGCAACGTGGTAACCCTGTATTGGCTGGTACGCAGTCTTCAACCCTTGTCGGAAGCTGTGTTGGATTACAAAATGACTGGGGTATGTATTTGATGTTGGAACGCTTCAGGACAGGCCTACGATTTTTTCTTCTTAAAAAAATACAAATATATCTTTAAAGTTTCATCTATTTTAAGGCCTACACCTGGAGTACAACCACAGTACTGCACACACATCGCCACGAGGCTGGCATCTGGAAGGTAACCCATGAAATGGAACTGCTGCCTGGCGAATGGCAGACACGCATGAAAACCAAAAACACAGTGGGATGGTCGAAATTCTCAGCGCCCTACATCTTTACCATTGGCGAGGAGAGTGAAGGTAAGAATTTGCAAAAAGATTTCCGAAAAAAAAAATTGGGAAGAGTTTCCATTCAGTCACCCCTTAAACGAGTTTCAATAGGAAGACTTAAAGCGCAGGACTTAAGGTGAAAATACATAAAACTCTTTTTTTGTCTGGCTTAAGGGTGAGAATACATAAAACGCTTATTTGACCGGCTTAAGTCATCTATCGGAAAAGAACAAAGGCTATCGGAAAAGAACAAAGGAGTGTAGGGCCAAAATCGAACTAAATCAACCTTAAACCCCTTTGCTCCTCTACGAAGAAGCCAGCTGATGAATTAAGCCAGTCAGAAAAGCTTTTTGTATACTCTCACCTTAAGTCATTCGCTGGCTTCTTCGGAAAAGAACAAAGGAACGAAGGGCCATAATCAAACTAAGTCAACCTAAAAATCCTTTATTCCCCAACGAAGAAGCCAGCCAATGACTTAAGCCAGTCCAATAAGCGATTTATGAATTGTCACCTTGTCACGATTTGATGGACCGAAATTGAACTAGATTACCCTAATTCCTTTGTTATTTTACGAAAATGCCGGAAAAAAACGTTCTATATATTCTCACCATTTAATTTGATATGGCTTCAATTTAGGTTGACTGAAAAGCAACTTTCCTAGAGTTTTCCATGGAAAAATGGATATTTCATGCGAAAACTTCAAGTGAATAGGAGTTAAGGTGAGAGTACATAAAAAGCTTTTTTGACTGGCTTGAGTCATCGGCTGGCTTCATCGTAGAGGAACAAAGGAATTTTAGCTTCACTTAGTTCAATTTTGGCCCTATACTCCCTTTTTGAGGTGAGTCTTCGAAAACGAGCAAAGTGGTGTAGGACCAAAATCGAACTAAGTCAACCTAAAACTCCTTCATTCCTCCACGAAAAAGCCAGCCGATGACTTTAGCCAGCCAAAAAACAACCCTTTTTTTTGTATTCTCATAATAAACGATTTGATGGGCCAAAATTGAACTAGGTCTCCCTAATTCCTTTGTTATTTTATGGAAATGCCAGCCGGTGACTTCTGCCAGCAAAAAAAAAACGTTCCAGGTATTCTCATCATTAAATAAAGCAATGCTTCAATTTAGGTTGACTGAAAAGAAACTTTTCTTGATTTTTCAATGGAAAAACTAAGAAAACTAAATGGGTGTTTCCACGCGAAAACTTCAAATGCAGCTCGGATGAATAGGAGTTAAGGTGAGAGTACATAAAATGATTTTCGGACTGGCTTAAGTCACCGGCTGGCCACATCGTAGAGGAACAAAGGGGTTTTAGGTTCACCTAGTTCAATTTTGGCCCTATACTCCCTTTTTGAGGTGAGTCTTCGAAAACGAGCAAAGTGGCGTAGGACCAAAATCGAACTAAGTCAACCTAAAACTCCTTCATTCCTCGACGAAAAAGCCAGCCGATGACTTTAGCCAGCCAAAAAAAAACCCTTTTTTTGTATTCTCATCATAAACGATTTGATGGGCCAAAATTGAACTAGGTCACCCTAATTCCTTTGTTATTTTATGGAAAAGCCAGCCGGTGACTTCTGCCAGCAAAAAAAAAACGTTCCAGGTATTCTCATCCATAAATTTAGCACAGCTTCAATTTAGGTTGACTGAAAAGTTACTTTCCTAGAGTTTTCCATGGAAAAACTAAGAAAACTAAATGGGTATTTCCATGCGAAAATTTCAATTCAGCTCGGATGAATAGGAGCTAAGGTGAGAGTACATACAAGATTTTTTTGATAGGCTAAAGCCATCGGCTGGCTTCATCGGAGAGGAACAAAGAAATTTTAGGTTCACTTAGTTCAATTTTGACCCTATGCTCCCTTCTTGAGGTGAGTCTTCGGAAACGAGCAAATTGGTGTAGGACCAAAATCGAACTAAGTCAACCTTAAACTCCTTTATTCCTCTACGAAAAAGCCAGCCGATGACTTAAATCAGTCAAAAAAGCATTTTATGTATTCTCACCTTAAATGATTCGATGGTCCGAAATTGAACTAGGTCACCCTAATTTCTTTGTTATATTATGAAAAACTCAGCCGGTGACTTCTGCCAGCAAAAAAAAAAACGTTCCAGGTATTCTCATCATTAAATTTAGCACTGCTTCAATTTAGGTTGACTGAAAGGCGACTTTCCTAGATTTTTCCATGGAAAAAATAAGAAAACTAAATCGGTTTTTCCATGCGAAAACTTCAAATGCAGCTCGGATGAATAGGAGTTAAGGTGAGAATACATAAAATGCTTTTTTGACTGTTTTAAGTCATCGGCTGGCTTTTTCGTAAAATAACAAGATATTAGGGTGACTAGTTCAATTTCGGACCATCAAATCATTTAAAGTGAGAATACATAAAATGCTTTTTTGACTGATTTAAGTCATTGGCTGGCTTCTTCGTAGGGGAACATCGATAGATGAACAAAGGAATTTTAGGTTCACTTAGTTCAATTTTGGCCCTATGTTCCCTTCTTCCTTTCGGAAGAAGCGAGCCGATGACTTAAGCCAGTCAAAACAGCCTTTTTATGTATTCGCACCCTTACTGTGTTGTTAATTTTATTTCCTTTGTGATATTTAAACGAGACCTTCTTCTTTCTCCTCTTTTTTCCAGATGACACTATGGTGGACATTGTCGATGACAAGGAAAATGTTGTCATTGCCGGCTTTGGAGGCGGTGCCAAAGAACAAAAGGCATCGGACTCAGCAAGGTGTCATTTATCTCTGTATGCCCTTCTGCTCATAGTACCCACAACACTGTTAAGGCAACGGTTTTTTACACGGCATTAATGGGAGAGACTTGTAACCAAAGAGCGAGCGCTTGCGAGAGAGGCAGAGAGAGAAGGAAGAACAAATAACAAAATAGACATTTAATATAAACAACCAAATACACAAATAAATAAATTAGTGCAAATTGAAATTAATGTGAATAGGATTAATAATAAGCCTATATATTTAAGAAAAAATACAATAACAACAAAAAAGTCAAGCTTATAGTTTTGATTTCAATCTGCTGCCATTGTGTCAAGTTTAGCACTTGAATGGCAAATTGTGTGTTTGGCATTATGTCGTGCTGTGCGCTCAAATTCTTCACTTCAAGGCATTTGAATTAGATTTGAAAAGGTTTTGTTTTTTTTTTTTTGTTTATCATTTAGTAAATTGCCTGGTCTGCCGCTGCACGATTGCCCCTCCGACCACCCAGAATTTTAAAATGGAACTGGACAAATGATTCTTTAGCTTAGTTGGGGAGGTTTTGTTTGATATGGCATTTGTGCACAATTATGATTACAAAACAATTTATTATTATACACCAATTTAGTCGGAGATCATTGTATGACCTAGCTGACAATGTCGGGGACGCTGTTGACGCGGCCGCCGCCGCCGACGATGATGAAGCAAACGCATACATGCTTGAGTACAATGTCTTATCTTTTTCGGCGACAATTGAGTTCTCGGTAATATCGTTACTTGTTATCTCCATGTCATCATGATCGCCGCCATCGGCGGCATTGTTGAGGTCTTCGTCAGTGGTGCCACTGATACCGCTATCCGATTCCGTTGAGTAATTCGGAAATTCAACTGAAAAACATTGATGATGATGCACAATTAGTCAGCCGTACATAAATAGCATCTTTGAGACATACATACCTTCTCCGCCGGTGGCAAAGCGTAATATTTTACTGCTATCACTCCAGCCATAATGATTTCTTGCCAATACCACCACCTGATAAATGCTGGCCGGATACAGGCCATATAATGTGTAGGTGGTGGTGTAAATGGGACCTTAAAAGAAATGTTTTTTTTTTTTTTTTTTTTTTTTTTTGAGATTATTGTGATTTCTTAAAGGTGGGAATATGGTACAATAAGGAGGTAGAACAGCTTCGTAAAACTACAAAAATACAGCCCTGAGGCTATGCCTGCTTCATGTCAGACTCATTTAAAATTATCGTTTTCATTTTTTTTTCTCATTTTTAAAATGAATTAAACAACGCGAAAAATGAATAAAATGCGTGGATTTTTCTCTCAAAAATATGATCACAACTGTTCAATCTTTCAATTTCATGGCTATACTGGTTAATAGCTTTAATGCGCGAGCCGCAATTAATGTGTCTTCCAATTATTTGTTTTGAAAATAGTTTCTTCTTTCATTTTTCAAAACAATTAATACATACACAAAATTGGCAGAAGTCGGACATACTTAGAAAAAAATTGTAATCAGCTGTACATAAAGCGCTTAAGGAGCCTAGGGCCAAAATCGAACTAAGTCAACCTAAAACTCCTTTGTTCCTCAGAGAAGAAGCCAGCCGATGACTTATACCAGCCTAATAAGCGCTTTATGTATTCCCAGTCTAAGATAGGCCAGATTCCTTGACAGGCTGGTAGTTTTAGGTTGACTTAGTTCGATTTTGGCCTTAAACTTTTTGTTCTTTTGCGAAGAAGCCAGCCTATGCCTTAAGGACTAAGTACATAAGAAGCTTGAAGTCATGGCTAGGCATATTTTGTGACATTTCACAAAGGGATTACAGAGCCGCACTAAAATCCAGCCGTCGTTTTCCATTATAATTTGACATTAATATGCCTAGCCATGACTTTAAGCTTCTTATGTACTTAGCCCTTTAAGTCAGTCAAAAAAGCATTTTATGTATTCTCAACTTACGGCCATTTGGCAACTCAGTTTTTTTTGTCAAAATACATAATTGTGATTTAAAATTCTAAAAACTAATAAATTTATTATCAAATTGTTGTCAAAGGTAGTCTTCTATGCCGACGTTGAGATGAGAATGCATAAAACACTTTTTTGACAGCCTTAAGTCATTGGCTGGCCACTTCATTTGGGAACAAAGGAGTTTTAGGTTGACTTAGTTCGATTTTGGCCCTAAGCTCCCTTGTTCTTTTCTGAAAAAAAAAACCAGCCAATGACTTAAGCCAGTCAAAAAAACATTTTATGCATTCTCACCTTTGTATTGGCTTTGCTAAAAGCAAATCTAAAATCAGCTAATATTGTGTTTACACTACAGAAGATTAAGCAACTGGGTTTAATAAATCTTGTGGGTTAACCTTTCTTGTTTATACACATCATAAGGAGAATAAAAATGACACTCAGCTGATTTTTGTTTACGTATACATCCATAACAAAAAGAGAATGCAAAAAAATAGCCCAAAACTTATGTAGACAAAAAGCGAAATGTAAACACGATATAAGCTAAATCAGCTGATTTGAATAATAGTTTCCCCATGGAAACATCAAACAGCTGAACTGATTTGACATTTCCATGGTAAAATAATACAGGTAGTCACATGCTGAGACAGTGAACTGTCAATACAATTTTGGAAATGAAATTTTTGAACATGGTAGAATCAAGAAGGTAAAGTCATGCAATCATATGTTTACATTGTTTTTAAATTATTCATTTGACAACATCTCACTGTCAGAATTTGTATTTGTAAATCCAATGTACATACACAAATCAGAGATGGGAACCTGTTTTTAAGTAGAGAAATGTGACAAGGTAAATTACAAAAAATGCAGAGTTGGGAATGCTTATTTGAAATGAATTTACCTTCTTCATTTTACCATGTTTTTGAATGAAAAATTATTCAAAATTGTTAAAAAAATGCATATCATAATAACCTCCGATTGGCGTCGCATAGGAAAACATATACAAATCTACTTATTTTTGAAAAAGGAAACATTTAAAAATTTTTGACATGTCAATGTTGCCAGGCGTTGAAGTATCTACCTGTATTATTTTACATTTTCCTATCGAAAACTCCATTCAGCTATTTAGCTGAACTGAACTGTTTAAATTCCCGCATTAATTGACTTACCTATAGAAATATCCGATGGTATGGTCAATTCAGTCCACTCCGGTCTGCTTGCCAATGTTGTGAACGATACTGTAGTTTCTGCAATAAAAAACAACAACCACAAAAAAACAACAACAACATAATTAAATATTTATGCTAGACATATCAAAACACAAACGGTGGGCAATCAAGCGCGAACACAGACACACACACACACTGTGCGCCTCACACCCACAATTCAATTAATTTAATTGAATAATGACCCCAAAGGAGTCCGACTGTGTCAGCTAAACAATTGAAAGACCGTAGAGATGGGGTAGAGATCATGCTCACTATCTCCCCAGTGTTCTCTCTCAAAGCCATAAAAAATACTCACCAGATGGTACTTGTCGGAATTTCAGTTTGAATTCAATAACCGGCGAGAAACTTTCCGTCTGCCACACCAGCGTATGCGATGTGGGGCTCTGCATGTCGGGACTTATCTTAAAGGTACATGGCATTGGACGGAATGTAAGCTCCATATAATTGCTGCGCACACCATGGGCATTTTCGGCGCGACACTCATACATGCCCATATCCGATTCACGGACATTTTTCAAGATCAACGAATGCCGCATATCGGAAAAGTAACGAGTGCTGGCGCCGGTGTTGTTCAATGGCATTTCCACATCCTGGCGAGTGTAATACGGTCCCATGGCAATCAATTTGCCGGTATGATACCAACGTACCTTGGCCAGGGGAGCCGATTCAACGTAACAATCCATTTGGACGCGACCACCCACTTTGGAATAGTAGATCTTTTGGGGTGAACGAATTTCGGGGGCGACTGAAAAATGGTACAAATAGGGGAATCAAAAGAGGTTTATTAGATGCTCCAATAATCGGGCATGGAAAATTCAGAAGATGTCAGAAAGTTCAGTAGAGGTCGAAGTCAGTTATGAGGATGTCAGAGGAATCGATTGTTCTGCCGGTGATCGATTGAGGTCAAAACACACTCTGGCTGGCTTAAGTCATCGGCTGGCTTCTTCGTAAAAGAACAAAGGAGGTTTAGGTTGACTTAGTTCGATTTTGGCCCTAGGCTCCTTTGTTCATTTCCGAAGAAGCCAGCCAGATAAGCGCTTTATGTATTTCCAGCTTTAGGGCTTCGCTTTATTTTCTGGCTTTGCAAATTCCAAATTATTTCAAATGCTAGAGCCTTCCTGGATTTCGGATTGCGTTAGCCTTTATAATTTGGTCCAAGCGAAGCAAGAAGTTCAATTCAACAAATTCAGAAGATGTCAGAAATGTTAATTCAAAAAGGGGGTCGAAGTCAGTGATGAGGATGTCAGAGGAATCGATTGTTCTCCCGGTGATCGTCTGAGGCCAAAACACACTAAGGGCTTCGCTTTATTTTCTGGCTTTGCAAATGCCAAACTATGTCAAATGCCAGAGCCTCTCTGGAATTTGGCCATTTTAATTTGGGTTAAAGGGAGCAAGACTTTTGATTTACTCCAAGGAATCGATCGTTCTCCCGGTAATAGATTGTGGTCAAAAACACACTCAGAGCTTCACTTTATTTTCTTGCTTTGCAAATGCCAAATTACTTAAAATGTCAAAGCCTTGAATTTCTGTGTCTTGAATTCTGATGCCGTTGGCAATTTTAATTTGGAAATGAGGAATCGATCGTTCTCTCGATAATAGATTGAGGTCAAAAACACACAGAGCGCTTCGCTTTATTTTCTTGCTTTGCAAATGTCAAATAATATAAAATTTCAGAATGTGAGATGACGAAGCAGAAAAAAACTGTTTCATGCAGAGGATTCTTTCGTTCTCTCGGTGTTCGATTGAGGTCAAAACACAATAAGGGCTTCGCTTTGCGCATGTCAAATTATTTCAAATGTCAGAGCCTCTCAGGAATTTTGATGCCGTTGGCCTTTCTAATTTGATCTCTTCGAAGCAATTAATTTGATTCAGTAAAGCACCGTTCTTCCGGTGATCGATTAAGGCCAAAACACAATCAGCGCTTCGCTTTATTTTTAAAGCTTTGCAAACGTCAGAGTGTTAAAGACCCTCTGAAATTCGGATGCCTTTTTTCAACGAAGCACAAAAAATTGATTCATGCTGAGGAATCGATTGTTCCCCCGGTGATCGTCTGAGGTCAAAACACACTCAGGGCTTCGCTTTATTTTCTGGCTTTGCAACTGCCAAAATATTTCAAATGTCAAAGCCTCTCTTGAATTCTGACGTGGTTGGCTATTTTGATTTGGATTAAACGGAGCAAGACATTTGATTTAGTCCGAGGAATTGATCGTTCTCCCAGTGATAGATTGAGGTCAAAAACACATTCAGGGCTTCGCTTTATTTTCTTGCTTTTCAAATGTCAAATACAAGATTATCAGAGCCCTTCTGGAATTCTGATGGCCTTTGTAAATTGGCTTTGGTTTGCGTCTTATTCATCTTTTACTGCTTCATGGAAAGTCCATTGGAGGTCTAGTCGATCGAAGCGCAATATAAGTCTGAGTCGATCATCAGAAACTCTATAGAAACGATCAGTAAAGGCGTGAATAGCTCATAAGAAACTCTGCGTAAAACCGAATCGGCGTAAACCTGAAATTATTATCGGATACCTAATACAGCTCGGAATGGATCATAGGGTGTTCAGGAGACTGGATCGATTACTAGGATAACAATAGGGTTTAAAAAGAGCTGCCCGTCTCAAATTCTGTTGCTATCCCAAATAGGTAGGCCAGTGGGGAAATGATCGAAAGAGAATAAATTAGGAGAAATATGAGTCTGAGTCGTCCGTCGGAACTTTCGTAGACGTAAGAAACGATCGCAAGAACTTCAATAGCCTAAATCAAACATAAAGAGTTCTGCTGATATTGGAATGGTCTATGAGCAGCTCTCCAAAAAAATCTGGTGTTTATTAGAGATCCGAATCCAATCCACAGCTCGGAAACCATGATCAGGTGTTCAGGAGATGGAATTGATTACTAGCGCAACAATGGGGTTTAAAAATAGCAGCTCTTCTCAAACCTAGTTACTCTCCCACATAGCTAGGCCTGCGAAGAAATGATAGAAAGAGAATAGATCGAGAGAAATATAAGTCGGAGTCATTCATCAGAAGCTCCTTAGTCATAAGCACCGCTCACAAGGAGTTCAAGAGTAGACCAAATCGAATATAACAAGTTCTGCTGAGATGAGAATTGATGATGAGGAGCTCTCCAAAAAAATCTGGTCCCACCATGAGTGTTCGTTAGAGATCCGAATCCAAAATGACAAGACCAAAGACCTTCAAACACGGAAATATCAGTAAAGTTCTGTATATCTCATGAGGAACTCAGTATAACCCCGAAACGATTATCAAAAGACCAATGCAGGTCGGAAACGATCATAGGAAGTTCAGGAGATGTCCAAAAATTATGAGAGTTCATCTACATAATCCCAGTAGTTTATGAGCTAATCAGTAGAAGACCGAAACAAACGCCGAATATTCACGACGTTCGAATGAAGTGCGAATGTACCATGGATTCGACGGGGTAATGAAGTTCGTCATCCAGTGAAGTGATATCAGAATATATATTGAGAAGCTAACTAGTGTAGCTACAAAGATGTCTGAATTAATCTTGGGATTTATTGAAAATATTTTTGATAAAACAAAAGATGTCCGAATGAATCGATGATCTTAGTCTAAGAGAAAATATTCTCCAGAAGTTGGAAGCAATCAATTGCAGCTCATTTAAAGTTTGAATCGTTCAGTACAGCTTCGAATCTGTCATTGAACGTCAAGCAGGAATTTCAAATTCAACTTCAATCAAAAGAGTTTCCCATCCCTGATTTGTGAAAATACAGTGGGTTAACTTGATTTTTCCAGGTCACCTTCTTAATTCTACCACGGCCTAATGTCATGTTTACGTTAGAACTGTTTAACAGGGTTAACCTGCATCAAGAGGATTTATGACATTTATATTTAAACGTACTGTAAGTTTCCTAAAAAGTCCGACAAATGTGCGAAAATAAGTGAGAATACATAATAGAATTTTTATCGGCTATAAGTCATCGCGTCCAAGTTTAAACTAAAGGTGAAAATACATAAAAGGCTTTTTTTGGATGGCTTAAGTCATCAGCTGGCTTTTTCTTAAAAAAACAAGGAGATTTAGGTTGCCTTAGTTCAATTTCGGCCCGAAATTGATACTTGTTCACCCTACACACTTTTGTTATTTTACAAAGAAGCCAGCCAAAGAGCGTTTAATGTATTCTCACCTTAAGGCAACCTAAACTCCTTGGTAGGAAAAATTCCTCTTATAATTAAACCTTTAAGGTGGAAATACATAAAGCGCTTGTTTTTCTGGCTTAAATCATCGACTGGCTTCTTCGTACAGAAACAAAGGAGTTTTAGGTTGACTTAGTTCGATTTTGGCCCTAGGTTCCTTTGTTTTATTTCCGAAAAATCCAGCCGATGACTTAAGCCGGTCAAATAAGCGCTTTATGTATTCCCACCTTTATATATCTCCCCATTATACTCACACAGAACCAGCAACTCCACACCTTCGGCTACAGGCTGGCCAACACCGTTTTGCGCCACACATTCAATGCTGCCCGACATGTTGCGCGATTTAATCTCCACAATATGCGTTTGACGATTACCAACCAAATAATCGATGACCGTCTCATTATTATAACTCCATGATACCGCCGGCTGGGGAACACCTTCGGTTTCACAAATAATCTCCAAGACCGCACCAACTGGCAACTCAATAAATCCATTGGGTGTAACATAAACTTTTGGGGCGTACTGTACTTCAATGGAATGAGCCTGTACGGCCTTCTCCGATGGTGTTAACATCTCACAATAATAACGACCCGTATCCTCGGTCCGGACATCCATGACAAGTAAACTGCCATTGCTCAAGAGGTGATAACGATTCAGCGATATCTCTTCCATGTAGGGAGCTTCCATTAATAAATCCTCATCGCGTAGCCAACGAACGGAACGATAAGAAGCTATCCGTTGGAAGGGGGAAGGTTGGTGATTAGAACATAACAAACCAAAAAAAAACACAAAAACACAACAAATCAATTTTCGAAAAACATCAACATTGCATGTCGTAGATGAAGATGACACCTGTCCGTGTTCGGATTCACTTACATTTGTAGTCACAGGGCAAGAGCACGGTATCGTTTTCATAGGTTTTAACGGTGGTGGGTACACTGTAAAAATCACGCGTATACGGTTCTTCATTGTTGGCGGCGGCGGTTGTTAAGGGATTTAGAATGTTTGAATTTACCAAACTTAGACTTAAAAGTACCAGCCACAGCGAAAGTGGCGCCCAATGTTTTAACAACATTTCAACTATTATTTTTATGTTTATCTGTATTTTTTTTCTTCTTTTTTTTTGTTTTCAATTAAGAACGTCAAAATGTCTTCACTCAAAAGTGCGATTTTAATTAGCTTAGATTGAATTTCCTTTTTTTTAATGCACTGCAGTTCTGTTTTTTTTTTCCAGGTTATTCCGTGTTTATGTGACCGAGACCAGTGTTCAATTAGAACTGCTCTTCAATTTTTGACTACCGTTGTCAGATCTTGATCTTGTCTCCGGAATGACCATGTTCTCAAACATCCGTAACAATGTGTAGCAATGTTTGTAAATGTGTGTGGTATATTCTGCCGTTTTTTTTTGTTATTTTTTTATTGCAAAAGAAACGCACATAGCCAGACAAACACACAGGCATACATGCAGACGGTAGAGCTCGAAAATAAGACACATTACAGTGAGTGCCATAAGATGTCACATGCTCTTGTTATTCGTGATCAGCAGCAATCTGAATTATGGTAGAATTAAAAAGGTAACCTCGTGGAATTATATGTTTACATTTTTTTTTTTCAAAATTATGGGTTTAGACAAGATTTCATAGTCAAAATGAATATTCATAGGTTTATGGTATGTACACAAGACAGAGATGGGAATATGTTATCAGTTAAGTTAAATTTGATTAGGTAAATTACAGAAAATGCAGAGCTGGATATTATTATTTAAAATGGGATTACTATCATTTTATTCTACCATGGCTTTTATTTTCATCAGCTGGTACCTCTACCATACCATTTTTTAAAACCATGACTTTGACCAAATATCAAAATGAAAACTTAAAAAAAATACGTACACAAGACAGATTTACAGATTTTCAGAGCTGGAAATTATTATTTAAAGTGGGGATACCCTCAATTAATTGTACCATGATCTGAATGACGAATGACCTGAATAATAGAAAACACCTGATAGTCATATTCTTTTTCTTCCAGACTTCTTGTTATATGGTGGAGGGTATATTAAGTTTGGCATTCCGTTTGTAACACCTCGAAATATACATTTTAGACCCCACAAAGTATATATATTCTTGATCAGCATAAAATTCTATGTCGATGTAGCGATGTCCGTTCGTCTGTCCGTCTATGGAAGTCACACTAGCTTCCGAACGAAATTAAGTTGGTTGATAAAATTTTATTCAAACGTGTATTATGTCTGCAGAATTTTTGGTATTGAAAATGATTCATGTAGGTCCACGTTTTGCTATAACCCACATATAACTGTACCTCCGATATTCGGTATTTTGATGATTTTAGCGACTTTATTCATCGGAATTGTTCAAAATTTGGTATTTAAGGTTCGAAATGGATAGTACAGCCTAAGACAGAAAATTGTCTCTGCAGGTCCCCATATAACGGCACCTCCCGATACTCGTTATTTTCATGATTTTAGCAACATTATTCACCGGAATTGTTTCAAATTCGGCACTTGAAGTTCGTAATGGATACTACAGCCTACGACAGAAAATTGTGTGTGCAGGTCCATGTCTTCGTATAGCCCCATATAACGGTACCTGCCGACATTCGGTATTTTGATGATTTTAGCGACAAGTGGACGGAAGAAAAAAGCGACATCAGCGGAAATGCTTCAAAAAGTAAAGAAGCGACTTGATCGAAACCCGCGCGTCGCAGTGGCCGAAAAATGGCTCGTGAGCTGAACATATCGCAGTACTCCATTCGGCAAATACTGAAAAATGAGCTCGGCGCAAAGCCATTGAAATTCCAAAAAGTGCAAGAACTTACACCGTAACAGAAAGAAAATAGGCTCAAAATGGCAAAGGGTTAGTTCGCTTGGACGAAGGTGTGAACTGCCGAATTTGGTTTTCTCCGATTGGAAAACATTCGTTGTCGAGCAGTTTGTAAACAAACAAAATTATCGCCTTTACCTGCCAAAGAGGTCAGCTGGAAATGTGCACCTTCGGCTGGCCATCAGAACTCAAGCGCCAGCCATGATGATGAGCCGATGGTTGCTCTCCGCTCGTGTTAATCGCGAAAATACTCTGGATAGTGTATTAAAACCTTGGGCACGCCAACATTTTGGCCGAAGACCTTGGCCACTCCAGCAGGACTCAGCACCATCGTACGCAGCACGCGCCACCAAAGAATGTTTACAAAATGAGGTTCCTCGCTTCATTTCCAACGCACAATAGCCACCAAAATCTCCGTATACCAATCCGTTGACTATTGTGTCCGGAGTTTTTTTGCTTTCATGCAATAAAATTTAAAAAAAATGTAAAAATTATGGCTTTTGACTTTGTTGCAGTTTTTTTATCTCACTCTGTACACATTTTGACAATGAGATGTCGTCAAATGAAATATTTTGAAAAAAAAAATTGTAAACATATGATTGCATGACATTACCTTCTTCATTCTACCCATGGTAAAATTAAGAATTAAGTAAAGTCATTTCAAATAAGCATACCCATCTCTGCATTTTCTGTAATTTATTTTGTCACATTTAATATTAAAAACAGGTTCCCATCTGTGATTTGACAACAAATTTTGACAATGAATAATTTTTGAAAAAGTTGTAAACATGTGATTACATGACTTTAACTTCTTAATTCTACCATTGAGTATTCGATTAAATCTGAATAGTTTTTTCCATACGCAACTTCATTTTTCTCGGCTACTAGTTGTACTTTTATTAAAGAAAACTAGAAATAATTCGCAGATTCCATAAAAAGTAAAGACGATTCCCGGCATGTGATCTTCCCTTAAGAAACAACTGTTTTATGTCAATAAACCCAATAAATTACAATGAAAGCGTTTGCGATCAGCGTCTTTGCATTACTAATATCTACATCCACTTTTTTAAAGACCATTACTTTTCTCCACATCAACTTCCCACTTTTGACACTCACTGTCAAACTGTTCGTTCATTCAATCATTCGCCTGCGCATTTCATTTGTGACATATTGGACGACTGTTTGGCTGGCTGAATGGCTACTCTTCTTATTTATTGTTGTTATTATTATTCAATTAAAGACGTGCTTTTGTTGCAGATGTGCAGATAATACGCGATCTATTTTGCGTCTCTGTGTGTATGTGCGCACTACGGCTTCTTGTGGAAGCCGGGCGGTCAGTTCACAGTTCACAGCAGTGCCACACACATTTAATAAGACTCCAATAACTTATCGTACGTTAAGCTAAGAATCTTTGTGTGTGTGTGAGTTAAGTTACTTTAAATCTAAATGAGAAAAATGTTTTCTTTTTTTAAAGACCAAACATTTGTCCAATCCAACAATAATTTTCAAGATGCATTGCAACAAATAAACAAAATAAATGACAATACAATAGAATAGAATACCTATCACCATTGTGACAGCAACAATGTCACCGTTATACCATAGGGGGAGTTTGGGAAGAAAGAGAGTGAGGGTGAGAGTAATAGAGGCTTTCTCATTTGAATTGCCATTCAAATTTGGAGAAAAAAATTAAACCGTCAAAGAATAAGAAAAAATAATCTAAAGATATGGCACCCAACACAGTAGCAGCGTAGTACCAGCACCAAAGGGAGAACAAAAAAAAACTCCTCCAACAATTAGTTATTTCCTCTTCGAATAAAGATTCTGGGCTTAGGGTGCCAATAAAAAAAAGAAAGAAAGCTAGAAAGTTATTATTATTATTGCATTCTCGAAAACGGAACAAAAATGTGCCATTAACATAAAAAAAGACAAGCCCATAAATAATTGTCAAACAATAGTCAATCACTTTTGTTTTTTTTTTTTGACAGTGTATCTCTAACGCTTATTAAACGGCAACATATGTTGTCCTGTTTATATGCCGGGATTTAAGTAATATCACAAGCGTGTTGAAAAATAATTACTGACGGGGGGGGGTTGATCAAAAGAAAGAAATGTATACCAAGGGAAATTTAAAAAGCATTTGAAAAAAAGAAAGAAAGAGAAGATTATTTTAATCAAAAGAGAGTGGATTTATCTTGAACCCTATGTGGGGTAGGTACCAGAATAAATGGTCCGATCTCTACCATCTTTATTACAAATCTTGTGTTGATGGAAATACTGAGATCTGCCAAGTTTGAATGGAATAGGATGTTAATTTTGCGTTTTATGAGCTTCATGGATATTCAGAATTTTGACTCTTTGTGGGAGAGGTACCGGAAGGAATGTTCCGATCTGTACCATCTTTATAACACATCTTGTGTTGATGGAAATACTGAGATTTGCCAAGTTTGAAAGAAATCGGATGTTAATTTCGCCTTTTATGAGCTTCATGGATATTCAAAATTTTGACCCTTTGTGGGGGAGGTACCAGAAGGAGTGGACCGATTTATTCCATATTCATAGCAGATCTTGTGTCAGAAAAAATAATAGGATGTGTGAAATATGAAGATAATCGGATACTTATTTCGGGTTTTATTATCGCTTTGGTTATTCAAAATTTTGGCCCTTTGTGGGGGAGGTACCAGAAGGAGTGGGCCGATCTCAACCATCTTGATAACAGACCTTGTGTTGAGGGAAATATTGAGATGTGTCAAGTCTGAATAAAATCGGATGCTTATTTCGCGTTTTATGAGCTTCATGGATATTCAGAATTTTGACCCTTTGTGGGGGATGTACCAGAAGGAGTGGACCGATTTATTCCATATTCATAGCAGATCTTGTGTCAGAAAAAATAATAGGATGTGTGAAATATGAAGATAATTGGATGCTTATTTAAGGTTTTATGATCGTTTTGGTTACTCAAAATTTTGAACCTATGTGGGGTAGGTACCAGAATAAATGGTCCGATCTCTACCATCTTTATAACAAATCTTGTGTTGATGGAAATACTGAGATCTGCCAAGTTTGAATGGAATAGGATGTTAATTTTGCGTTTTACGAGCTTCATGGATATTCAGAATTTTGACCCTTTGATGGGGGAGGTACCAGAAGGAGTGGACCGATATGTTCCATCTTCAAAGCAGATCTAGTTTTAGTAAAAATAATAGGATGTGTGAAATATGAAGATAACCGGATGCTTATTTCGGATGTTATGATCGGTTTTGGTTATTCAAAACTTTGACCCTTTGAAGGGGAGGTACCAGAAGAAATGATCCGATCTCTACCATTTTTATAAGAGATCTTGTGTTGACGGAAATATTGAGATGTGTCAAGTCTGAATGAAATCGGATGCTTATTTCGCGTTTTATGAGCTTCATGGATATTCAAAATTTTGACCCTTTGTGAGGGAGGTACCAGAAGAAATAGTCCGATCTCTATCATTTTCATAACAAATCTTGTATAGATGGAAATACTGAGATGTGCTAAGTTTGAATGGAATAGGATGTTTATTTCGCGTTTTATGAGCTTCATGGATATTCAAAATTTTGACCCTTTGTGGGGGAGGTACCAGAAGGAGTGGGCCGATCTCTACCATCTTGATAACAGACCTTGTGTTGAGGGAAATACTGAGATCTGTCAAGTCTGAATTAAATCGGATGTTAATTTCGCCCTTTATGAGCTTTATGAATACTCAGAATTTTGACCCTTTGTGGGGGAGGTACCAGAAGGAGTGGACCGATATATTCAATCTTTACACCAGACCATGGTTTAATAAAAATATTGTGATGTGTGTAATTTAAAGGCAATCGGATACTTACTTCACATTTTATAAGAGTTATAATAATTCAAAATTTTGACCCTTTGTGGGGGAGGTACTGGTTGGAGTGAATCGATATTTCCATTTTCGCACCTGCTGTAGCACTGATGCAAATATTTGGATTCACAAAGTTTGAGCAAAATCGAAGTAACCTTTCTCTTTCTGTGCATTAAATTATTTTCTTTGAAAATGTTGAAATTTTGTGGGGGAGGTACCAGAAGGAGTGGGCCGATTTTGTCCATCTCCGAACACGATCTAAGTTTGACAATAACATTTTTGCCGCAGATCTTGGACATTGCAACAGGACTCAACACTATCGCACTCAGCACGCGCCATCCAAGAATGGTTACAAAATGAGGTTCCTCGCCACCATAATCTCCGGATACCATTCCGTTGGACTATGATGTCTGGAGTATTTTGGAAAGCAAGGTTGGCACTAAACAATACCAAAGTGTCGATCACCTCAAGCAAGCGCTTCGCCCGGAATGGGCAAAAATACCGCAGAGCAACATTCGGGCAGTGTGTGACGTGGTTTTATTGGCCGTTTGAATGCCATAAGTCGTGCCAAAGGTGACCAATTCGAACAAATCTAAACTTATTTTAAAATTTTATGTTATTTTCGAGATTTTTTTCCTTTCGTTCCAAAAAAAATTAAAAAAAAAAATTGAAAATTATGACGTTTGACTTTGCTGCAGTTTTTTATCTCACTCTGTATACCCTCTCTGGCTGAGGGTATGAAAAATAATGAAAAAGAAGATTATTTTAATCAAAAGAGAGTGGTTTTATGTTCCACACTTTCAAACTGATCCAAACTCTTTGTAAAGTTCATTTATTAATCATTTAAAACACAAGCCATATTTACTTTGCCATTGGGCGCCATGCAAACGAATACTAAAAGGTCATAGTTAATACTGGGTCGTTCCTAATTATTGATTAATAAAGTGAGCTAATGTCAGGAGGTTATTCAAAAGTATTGAAGGTTAAGCAACTGGGTTTAGTAGATCTATTGGGATTCATGCCGCTCATTATTTTTTCTTTTTGTTTCTGTTCCAGAACATGCGAGTTTTGCATTTTTTTTTTTCGATATTATAACGAAAAAATAGGCACACATTCTCGCCGTTCTGGGAGAGAGCATAAATTATTTATTGTATTGAATTGTCATATTTAAAAAAAAAAAATATGTGCTATTTATTTCTTCACAATTGTATGTTAAGCATATCTAATATATGCATACCCATAGTTCATTGTGTCGAGCCCAAGTAATTTATCATACTCATAACCTGGAATGCAAAATTAATACCCCAGCTCTTTTCAAAGCAAACTGACCGATAATATGTTTCTGCGAATTTTTGAAAAATTCTACAAATGGTTTCGGCAAGAAAGCCTCTACTATAGGTAAGTAGTCATATATGCTTTACATACCACACTTAAATTTTTACACAACATCACTTTCAGAATATTTTGGGGCATAATCATTAGCATATCCGCTTGGAATATTCTATCGATATTTGTGCTGACAATTAAACGTTATTTTTCCGATTCGATTAGTATTGGCATTGAAACAACATATCTACAATGGAATAATACATTTCCCGCTGTTTCGTTTTGTCTAACGAAAAATCGTTCGAGTGGGCGAGTCAGTGAATTTGTGGCAGCGGAAAATATACCCCATGCTGTGTCGCGGGGAATTTATGTGAAAAATCTACACGACTACATGTTTACCAATCCGAATAATTTCCATTTTAAGGAAGAGTATTGTGATGGTCTGAATTCGACATGTGGTGTTGATATATTGCGCCTGAGAAGAGAGGTAAATGAGGGACCTGTAAGGGGATTCTTTAACTCATTTTAAATGATGAATGGAGAGTCTAAATTCGAGTTGGCAACACTGATGGGTGTTTTTTAACCAATTTAATAGATTTAAATAATTTTCCATTTAAAAGTTTGAATTTCAAAAATATTTTGACAGTTCTTTGTACCATCAGCTGTTTTTATGCGGCTACCTGTATTATTTTGCCATGGATTAAGTTGAAAATACATAAAACGCTTTTTTGAGTGGCTTAAGTAATCGACTGGCTTTTTCACAGAGAAAAAAGGGAGTTTTAGGTCGACTTAGTTCGATTTTGGCATGGTAGAAGAATATAGGTAGACGCATCGACACAGCTGCTGAGACAATGAACTGTCAAACCAATTTTGGAATTGAAAAATTTGAATGAAAAATTATTTAAATTCGTAAAAATAACCTCCGAATGACGTCGTATAAGAAAACATATAAAAATCTACTTATAAATTAAAAAACATTTAAAATTTTTGACATATCAATGCTCTCAAGCGTTGATGCATCTATCTGCATTCTTCTGCCATGGATTTTGGCCTAACGCTCATTTGTTCTTTTCTGATGAACCCAGCCGATGACATAAGGCCATCAAAAAAGCGTTTTATGTATCCTCACCTTTATCCATAAAATTAAGCTGCTAACAGGCAATAAGGGTAAAGGTGGGAATACATAAAGCGCTTATCTGGTTGGCTTAATTCATCGGCTGGCTTCTTCGGAAATGAACAAAGGAGCCTGGGGTCAAAATCGAATTAAGTCAACCTAAAACTCCTTTGTTCATCTACGAAGAAGCCAGCCGATGACTTAAGCCATATGCGCTTTATGTATTTCAACCCTAAGGGTTTTGCATAAATTTGTGTATGTCAAAATTGCCATTTTACATATGACTCATAATTCTTGCTATCACACACGTTGCATATGATTTTTTAATTCTTTTGGGTTACATTGTGATTATATTGTTCCGGAATTGCAAGAATGTAAAAGTTTTTACTACGAAAACCAATTGTTCCTTTATTATATCGAAAAAAAAATTACAAAACCAGTAGATTCTTGTAAGTTCTGGAACAAAGCAAATGCTTTATGGATGCATTTTTACCGAATTTTTGATTGAATTCCAAGGTGAGAATACATAAAATGTTTTTTTTTAACTGTCTTAAGTCATCGAGGGCTTCTTCGGAAAAGCACAAAGGAGCCTAGGACCAAAATCGAACTAAATCAACCTAAAACTCATATTTCCTCTACGAAGAAGCCAGGGGATGACTTAAGCCAGTCAAAAAAGCTGTTTTATGTACTCTCACCTTTATTTTTCCGATGGAAATAGGACTCGCTGTGATCGAAAAAGTACATATGTATTTTACTCATGCATTTCAAAACTGAAATGCCGTCCATGTATCAAACGATGTGTACAACTTTTATGTATGGAAAATTTGAAATTTTTCTTTTGACAAAATTTCAAAATTTATATTTATAAATCTATTGTATACATAGAAATCAGAGATGGGAACCCTTTTTTTATTAAGTGAAATTTGACAAGTAAATTATAGAAAATGCAGAGATGGATATTCTTATTTGAATTAACTTTACCTTCTTAATTTTACCATGTGTGAAACTCTTATCGTCAGATAGCAGCTTTATTGATACATCTATGGTAGAGTTAAGAAAGTTACCTTTTTTTTTCAAATATTTCCGAGATTTCCTCTATTACATTTAACTGCCTAGAAAAATAGTTATCATCTCTGTAAAACCCTTATCGTCAGATAGTAGCATTATTTATACATCAATGGTAGCGTTAAGAAGGTTACTTTTTTCAAATATTTCCGAAATTTCCCCTATTACATTTAACTGCACAGGTTCTCCGCTTTGATGAATCTATGATATATTACGAAGAATGCGTGTCATATATATCAAGGATAAGTCAAATAAATTACGTATTTACGTATAATATGAGTTCAATTTCCATCGTTTTTAGCTCCTACCACCCACTTGTCAATTTTTCATGGCCAATGTCTCGTATTTGGGAAAAGTTGTGGAGAATTGTGAAGATATTTTTAAATTTCATCAATTGGAAATGGGTTATTGCTATTTGGCCAATAATCTGTTGGACTAGTAAGTATGATCCCAAAACGTTATCAAATTGCTATCTAAATTATACCGTTTTAATTAAATTACAGTCAATCCTTTGAGAATCTACCGCTAAAATTCGGCATATCCCACAGGGAGAACAATTTAAAAGTCCATTTAAGGGGTGGTTTTATATGGAAATATGAGGTACAATTTCCCAGAATATTATGTTTGAGCAACGAAAATGTTTTGTCCTTTTGTTTCAAGATGTACATACACAGTCCCGATGATTTACCATATTTTAATTCCATCACATATGATGCCTTTTCGGATCCAACAATATATCGTTTTAATGTTGAGGAATATGACAACAATCCCGATGTGCAAGAAGAAGCTATACAACAAAGATCATGTAAATTTCCCAATGAAAAAGATCCTGGCTCACCATGGCATTATAGGTAAGTTGCGACATATATTTGTTTGATGTAGCAGAGTATTGATGTGTTATGTGTGTTTTATTTTTAATTCCAAGTTTTTCCACATGCATGTCATATTTACGCATAAAATTTGAATTAGATCAGTGTAATTGTACACATTTTACATCGCCCGAGAAATGTAAGTTTGAAATATTTGGGGTGGAAAATCCCCTTAAGGGTGAGTATACATTAAACGCTGATGACTTCTTCGAAAAGAACAAAAGAGCATAGGCCCAAAATCGAACTAAGTCAACCTAAAACTCCTTTGTTCCTCTACGAAGAAGCCAGCCGATGACTTAAGCCAATCAAAAAAGCGTTTTATGTATTCCCTCCTTAACAGATTATATATCTTTCTATGTATATTTTTAAAATCGACAAGAATATTAGACGCATGTAAAGACTGTAATAGTATATAATATCTTTATGGTAAAAGAATACAGGTAGATGCATCAACTCTTGGGAATGCCAATTTTTTTAATGTTTCTTCAAAAATAAGTAGATTTGAAAATGTTTTCCTATACGTCGCCAGCGGAGGTTGCTATGAAATTAATTTTTTATAACAATTTTTACAAATTTAAATAAATTTTCATTCAAAAATTTCAATTTCAAAATTGGTTTGACAGTTCGTTGTCCCAGCAGCTGTGTCGATGCGACTACCTGTATTCTTCTACCATGAATAGCTTTTTGCTCCCACCTATGATGATTTATTTAAAATTGACTTTTTAAATCCACTAAATCTGGTTTAATGTAAACGTACTATAACATATCGTAATGTGCGTGGCAGAAGAATACAGGTACATGCAACAACGCTTGGGAGCATTGATATGTCAAAAAAATTGTAAATGTTTTTCAAATATGAATAGATTTTTATATGTTTTTTTTATGTACTTGACACATGTATTTCACAACTGATGTGGAACTTCTGTTCCGGAACAGACCACATATTTTCCCCATAGAAATAGGGCTCGCTGTGATCGAAAAAAGCACATATGTACTTGACTCATGTATTTTACAACTGAAATGTCGTCCATGTATCACACATATGAAGAATTTGACACTACATATCTACATATCGTCTGAAAGAGCCTTTAATGGTAATATAAACATATCGTTTGATAGAGCCTTTAACGGTAATATACCAATACATTAACTGTAATATACCATTTACACAATGATAATAAAATCTTGAAAACTGCCACTAAATGTAACTGACACGAAAAATATAAGTTGTCCGATAAAAATTCCACTCCATTTAGCATTTATTTAAAATCACTAATTACTTTCCGTCTCTATTAAAGATAAACCATACTATTGCGATACAAAGGGTTTGCGATGCATATCGGATGGTAAATATTATTTATTGTTTAAAACTTTTATAAAGTATGTTTTCATTTGCAGCTCAAATCACATCACAAGTAAAAGAATATGTGGTATCGAAAAATGCATGTTATCCATCATGTGTGGAACAGCAAATTACATTAGTTGGGTATGTTTTGCTTTATGGCAACAAATTTACACCGAAGATGTCAACTTTATTTATTTAATATTGTTATTATAATATTTTGCTTGCAGAATAAATCAAATTCAAAGTTTGGATATTACAGATACATTGTATATTGAAATAAGTATCACGAACTTGCCATCGGTGCGCTACAATCGTGTGGTTACTCAAACCTATCTGGATTTAGTTGGTAAGGTTATTGTATTACATATATAACATAAATCAAGGCAAAGAGCGTAGAGTGAACAAATATAAAGGTGAAAATACATAAAGCTGGGAATACATAAAGCGCTTATCTGACTGGCATAAGTCATCGGCTGGCTTCTTCGGAAGTGAACAAAGGAGCCTAGGGCAAAAATCGAACTAAGTCAACCTAAAACTCCTTTGTTCATCTACGAAGAAGCCAGCCGATGACTAAGCCCAACCAAATATGTGCTTTATGTATTTTCACCCTGACTCATCGGCTGGTAAAAAAGCGTGTTATGTATTCTTACCTTTAGTTATTGCTCGAAATTGACATTTTTTAACTTCGAAATTTATTATTGCCAAAAATTATGAGTGTTTGCTTTCTCAAAAAACGCAGGACCACGAGATTTGCAAAATACACCTCTGAATGAATGCAATTTGTCTTGTGTAAACGCCATATCAAAATCTTACAATCTATGCAGCAATTGTAGTTTTGTACCATAAATCTAATCTCGGTTTCAATAAAATTTGCTTAACCTTTTTAAAAATCATTATCAAATTATTAATATTTTAACTACTCTTTTATGATTCCGTTTTTTTTTTCAGTTTCGGTAGGCGGTGTTATTGGACTTTTTGCTGGAGCATCTGCTTTAAACTTTTTGGAAATTGTCTATGTGCTGTTGCGCCGAAAACTGTAAATTTTCATTTGAAGTTTGACCAAATATAACGGGAAAGATGAAATTTGAAGATCGAAATAAGAATAAAGTGTTCTATCTAGCGATTATAAAAAGTACCCTAATATTAAGCAATAATATTTGCGATTTGCTAATAATTCTTGTAGCCTAATATTTTCATTTTTTTTGTCTTTAATAAAACTGGCACACAAATTACTCGTTCTACGAAAAATATGCCATTTATTTGAATTCGCAATCCAATTAAGACTTTATATGAAAACATGGCACAATTAACTTAAGATATTTTCTTTACAAGTTGTCATTTTCAAGAACTGCAGCAATGTAAAATTAAGAAATTAAAGTTATTTCAAATAAGCATATCTATCTCAGAATTTTCTGTAATTTACCTTGTCAAAATTTCACTGAATAAAAAACAGGTTCCCATCTCTGTTTCCTGCGTGTACAATGGATTTACAATTGTAAATTTTGAAAATGAGATGTTGTTAAATGAATAATTTTACCTTCTTAATTCTACCATGAACTGCACGAATGTACAACATTTTACTATGATAACCAATTTTTCCTTTATTATATCTGTAACTTGACTTCACTAAAAACAGGTTCCCATCTCTGATGTGTGTATATACAATGGATTTATGGACATATATTTTGACAATTGGGCTTTGTTATAGTGCAAAGTAGATAAATACTCAAATATAGAAAATTTAAATTGGAGGTTTGTCTTTTTAAAATCATTTTTTTATGGTAGAAGAATACTGGTAGATGCTTTAACGCTTGGGAACATTGATATGACAACAATTTTAAAATGTTTTGTTAATAATAAGTAGATTTTTATATTTTTTTTATGCGACGCAAATCATTATTATCCAAAATCGTTCATTGGCCCTGCAGCTGTGTTTATGCGACTACCTGTATTCTTCTATCATGCATTTTTTCACAATAGCGTGCTACCGCATCGATTTTATGATTTAAACTAGTATCAACAATTTTTTTACTGGACTTAGATGTATAATTTCTAAGCTCTTTCATTTGCGTCATGAACAACGCATTCACTTTTTTCATATGCGCACTAAAGAAATGCCAACATTTGATTTATAGATCCCTTTAAAACATTCATGTGGTTTTGTGAGGGAAATTAATTTGCCTACTTGTACAAAATTTACTGCGTATATCACTGCCTTTACACGGTGGCATTTTTACATGGCATTTTTATCAAATTCTCTTTTAAAATTTCTGCGTGAATCTTCGCGCCTTTACACGGTGGCATTTTATGATATTAGTGCTTGGCATTTTTTCTGACATTTTATTTTATTCAATATTTCGTATAGAGCTGTATTGTTGTGCTAATTGTTTGTAACAGATATTTATAAAGAAGTGATTTAAAATTAAATGTGTGAATCGAAAGAAGAAATGATAGAAAAATTTATTGTCGATCTGGTCCATATCCTTGTCTCTCTACACCTTTTACCAACAAAAAAAAAATTGCATGGTTAAAAAATGTCACCGTGTAAAGGCAGAGTATATCAAATAAAATCCTCTGATTTTAAAATTTTTTTGTCTATTCAAAAAATCACTCAGTTGAAGCTCACTAGATTTCGTATATGTAAACATGCTTAAAAGGGGCAAAAATAACAAAATTGATATATAAATCCGATAGTTCCATTAATCAAACTAGTTCCTTTGAACCATCTCGTTCCAGAACGACGACAAGGCTCTAGTTTTTAAGGTCGGCGTGAATAGTTTTGTTTTAGAACTTTTTTTTTTCAATTAATTCCCAGCTGAACAATGGTCTTCTATTTTAAAAGTTGTGTCGTTGATCCACCGGCTGTGCTGTACATGGGAAGGGATAAGTTTGAGAGTATGTTATATTTGTATAAAGAAAAATAATTAAAATTTATTTTTGCAACCAAGCGCTCCTGCTAAATTTCGCCATGTCGCCATAGAATTAACAACAAATGTTTTCCCGGGAAGTACGATAGGATTTGGAAACGATTTGCGATGACAAATATGGAGTGGCGACATGTTTAGTTGCCAGGCAGTTGCCGTGTTTGCCTTGCGATGTTGCCGTGATACCGGCATTCAACAGCGCATCATGTTTGTGACATGCATGTGGCTTTAAAGAGATATTACTAAAAGTGTAAATCCCCCAAATCTTCTTCGAGGACGATACCATTTCAAATTTTAACCCTGCATTCAACCCATGTTGCTGTTTTGGCAAAAATATACCCAACCATAACCCTTGTCGAGAAGATATTACCAATAGCATAAAAAACTTGTCTAGTTTACCAATGAAGCTCCAGATCAAAACGAAGCAGAAAGCTTGAAAATGAAGCTAAATAATATCAAACAGAATAATTACGAAGGGGCATTATATCCTCAACAAGGTAGCAAATAAAGTGAGATCTTATTTTTGCGTGGAGAATTACCATTTGTTTAACCTCCCACAAAGTGGTGCCAAATCTGGAACAACTCTAGTTTAGTAAAAAGTCTTATAGTACGTTTATATATATGAGGGTTAACCCACTGGATTTGGATTTAAATTGTCATTTCCATTACTTTTACTTCAAATAAATCCTCTCAAAGTAGGTTAACCCTACAAAAAGTTCTAACGTAAACATGGCATTAGATTTTTTCGAAATTTTTTCTAGATGTATTTATTACCCTGATCTCGGGAAACTATCAAACTAGACTAAACTAGCTGGACCCGGATCCACTTACCCGATATAGAAAATATTTGTATCGTTATATTATAGTCGAGTTATTGATTTTTGGAACCCGGATTTTTTATAAAAACCCTAAAAAGTCGAAAAATGGCCCATTATGGGGGTGGGGTAAAATACCTACCACTGGAAAAATGAAATGAAGTGTTTTTACTAAACTAGAGTTAAATCTTTAGAAAAAGAGTAAGACCGAGCCTAGGAATGGTCGCGTGTACCCCCTTACGATGAACTTCACAATCTATGGTGCTCGAACAATGCTTGGCCACCCCTTCACCTATAAAAACAATAATTTCGTTATTTTTGAAATGTCCCGATGGGCCATTTAATATTGCATATCCAAAGTCTCACACGTTTTGATGTGTGATCAAATTTCAAGGGCCCTGTTCAACATTTAAGTTGCTTAAAAAATTTGAAGTGAAGCATTATTGCCGATTTTCATAAATTCCGAAAGTTTCAATGACGTATGATAACTTCTATTAAAAACATAACTAATACGCACCAGATGACAGGAGAAAGAAAATCTTCGCTTAGGGCAAAATTTACAAACTTTACGCATATTTAGAGAAAGATTCTAAATAACTTAATATATTTTTCATCCCAAGATCAAGGGTCACAAAATCCACAGGTACGGCTTGAAATAGAGGATCTTCAAATACAGTTAAATTATGTGAACCCATAAATGCAAAATATACCACAAATACCACATAATATCCCATCATTATGTCATTAATCATACGCAACCGGTAACATAAATCCATATTTAATGTGTGGTTAAATATCCTTCATCTGATGTCTACAGATATTAAATACAGATCTATTTCTGAATGAAATAATATATGTCTTTAAGAAATTGAGGCTTATGATTTACTTTACTTGTGTCTATTTTTAAATAGTTGTTATTCACTTTCTCTTTCCAGATGAAGACTTGATAAAATGGGGCTTTCCAGAAGATGTTTGGTTTCATGTACACAATTATTCATCGGCACATGTCTATCTTAGATTAGAAAAGGTATAGCCCATAAATTCCATTTGTGGAATAAAAAAGCTAACTTATTTAATTGACAATATTTCCAGGGCCAAACAATTGATACCATACCACCCGATGTCCTAACCGACGCCGCTCAACTGGTCAAGGCCAACAGTATTCAGGGAAACAAAATAAACAACATAGATGTAGTCTATACCATGTGGGAGAATTTGAAAAAGACTCCCGACATGGAACCCGGCCAGGTGGCCTATCACAATGAAAAGGCTGTCAAGATGATACGCGTTGAGCGTAGAAAAAACGAAATTATCAATCGTTTGAATCGCACCAAAACAGAAGACTATCCCGATTTAAGGGCGGAGCGTGAGAAACGTGATGCCCAGGACAGGGCTGAGCAAAAGGCCAAGCTGCGAGCACAAAAAGAACTCGAAAAGGAGCAGGAAAAGAAACGTAAAGAAGAAGAGGAATTGCGTAGCTATACGGCATTGTTGAAAACCGAAAATATGACAACAAATCAGGATGGCAATGACTCCGATGATTTTTGGTAGAGTTTTAAAGATCTTTTTTATATGTTTCAATAATAAAAAAAAAACAAATTGTTAAAAAATAATCTTGCATACTTGTTGTGGGTTTTGATTACTTTGATATTTACTTTATTACTGACACAAATGCTTTTCTTTTTCGTTTTGTTTATTTTTTTTAAGATTTTTTTTCTCATGTTGGTGATTTCTTTTTGTTTGTTTGTTTGTTGTTAGTGTACAGGATTGTTTTAGGTTTAATCATGTTGTTGTTGTTTTTTAACCACACATTTAATTGGCATTTAAGATTTTTTGTTTATATAAATTTTAGTTTCTTTTTTTTTGTTTCTTTTAAGAGAAGCTGCATGTGTACCATCGTCTCATCATGATCATAATAATCATCATCATCATAATGCTGTGTTTCCATTCTTTTACTATGATATAATCTTTTTTGTTGTTGTTGTTGTTTTTCGTTTACGCCTTAAAACTATTGTTAATTCTTTTCACTTGTTGTTGATTTCTTATTTTCTTTTTTTTTTTTGTTCATTTAAATGTAAACCTGTGTATGTTTTCTTGTTGAGTGTTCGAGTTTGTGTGTGTGTGTGTGTGGGGGGTGTGGGTGTGGATTTTTTTCTTTTTTTTTAAATTAATACTACTAAAAGTTGATGCTAATTCGCACCATTTGCATTCTTCTGCATTGAATTTCCTCCTAATATATACATGGATTTATTGCCATCACGTTCACTGCCATAAATTTTACCGGCCTTTTTCGCCATCGAACCCAACAGCTCCTGTGACACTTTGTGCGCTGAACGTAGAGAATAGGCCCATTCTTTTAAACCGATTTCATCCTGCAATTAAAAAATAGGCTATTTGTAATGACACCTACAGCTACAATGTTGGAATATAAATGAAACTTACGGGATTTGTTAGTAAAATTCGTCCATCTCTTGAACCATCATTGACTCGTATTTGAATACATTGTTCACCTTTGTAAGGTACAAAGTCTGATGATATATCTTCTATTTGATCCATGAATATCAATTCTGGTTTGTTATTACCACTTTCTGAATGTAATTCTAGGCTGTAAAAAAGAAAGAAAATCATGATTTAGTTTCATTAAAAATTTATTGGTACAAAATTTTCTAAAGTGAGGTTAGGTCCGGAAAATGTTTAATTTTGCGGCGAAATTTAAACAAGGTTTTGGATCAAAAAAAATTGAAAATATTTTCAAAATAAACTTTAGAGAATTTTTACAAATGATTTAAAAGTAAAATTGTGATTTTTTCCGAATACTTTAAGGTTGGGGCTACATAAAAATCGAAATGAATACTAATACTAATTTAAACAAGACACTTTTTTATTAAATAAGAACCAAATCTAAAGCAATTTAAAAAAATTTAAAAAAAAGAAAAAATTTCAAATTTGAGGTTATATAAATATGGGGGCTACATAAAAATCGAAACGAATGCCAATAAATTTAAGCAAGACAATTTTATTCTATGAGAACCAAATCTAACTCAATTTAGGTAAAAGACTAAGCCGAAATCAGTAAAATTTTTCAAATTTGAGGTTATGTATTAATGGGAACTACATTAAAACTAACGTCCAATTTGATTATTTTTACCCGGAACATTTTTATGACCCTTGGAAATCAAAATGCCAGTTTAAAAAAAGTTTTGCTGAACAATGTGCCTAAAATCCTTTGAAAAAATACCCTAAATTTGAGGTTATGTTTATGTTAATCTTAAAAAATCGAGGTTATGTTCATTAGGGCAGCGCCACAAAACCTGAATCAATGGAAACAAGTTTAGAGAATCGAATCAAATTAAAAGCAAATCAGCTGCAAGTCTAATATCTGTAAAATATTATACATTTGAAGTTATGTATACAGGGTGAGATGAAAAAAAAACGCAGCAAAGTCAAACACCATAATTTTTACATTTTTTTTTTTTAAATTTTTGAATGAAAGAAAAAAAATTCGGAAATAGCATCAAATTTTGGAATAAGTTTAGATTTGTTCGAATTGGTCACCTTTGGCATGAATTATGGCCTTCAAACGGCCAATGAAACCGTCACACGCTGCCCGAATGTTACTCTGCGGTATTTTGCCCCTTCCCGACGAAGCGTTTGCTTGAGGTGATCGACATTTTGGTATTTTTAGTGCCAACTTTCCATTCCAAATTACTCCAAACACAATAGTCCAACTGATTGGTATCCGGAGATTTTGGTGACCATTGTGCGCTGGAAATGAAACGAGGAACCTCATTTTGTATCCATTCTTGGGTGGCGCGTGCTGAGTGCAATGGTGCTAAGTTCTGTTGGAATGTCCAAAGTCTGCGGCCAAAATGTTGGCGTGCCCAAGGCTTAAATACACCCTCCAGAATATTTTCGCGATAATTCGCCACTTATTCTGATGCCACGGCCGATTAATACGAGTGGAGGGAGACCATTGGCTGTTATGGCGGCCCACACCATCACCATAGCCGGCGCTTGAGTTCTGGTGGCCAACCGAAGGTGTACATTTTCAGCTGACCTCTTTGGCAAGTAAACACGATCATTTTGTTTGTTCACAAACTGCTGGACAAAGAATGTTTTCTCATCGGAGAAAACCAAATTCGGCAGTTTACCACTTTCGGCCAAGCGAAGCAACTTTTTAGTTGCGTTTTAGTGTATTTCCTTTCTGTTGACGTGTAAGTTCCTGCATCTTTTTGGAATTTCAATGGCTTTTCCCCGAACTCATTTTTCAATATTTGTCGAATGGAATATTGCAATATGTTCAGCTCACGAGTCATTTTTCGGCCACTGCGACGCCGGTTTCGATCAAGTTGCTCACAGGGCTACACTACCAGTATCACGGTAACGAGCGATGGTACGAAACACAAAAAATTTATTCACATTTAAATGCTGGTGTGCTCTGTCGATAGCCGCTTGTGGTTTTTCAGCCAATAATAATGAAATCACACTATCACGCTTAAATTTCGTCACGAATAACTTTTTTCCTGGAAAATTCTCACCAAAATGCTTTTGTACGCTTGTACATAATATAATGAGCTGTCACTGGAATAATTTTAACAGCTGTCGGATGAGTGGCTTAGAAATGACAGCAGTCTGAAGTTGTTTGCAATTTTTTCATCTCACCCTGTATATGGGGACCACATCAAAACCAAGGTCCAACTTGATTATTTTTACTAGAACGGTTTGGTTTTATGACCCTTGATACACTCTAAAGTGCCAGATCAGGGTAGAATGAATTGAAGAATTATTTATAGCTTTAATTTTCCCCAAATTTGAGGTTATGTTCCTATGGGATCTACCACAAAATGTGACTGCATATTTAAAATTTCTCTGTTCCAGAACGTGCAAAAATGTTACTACGATAACCGATTTTTCAATTATAATATTGAAAAAGTTGCCAATTAGTAGATTCTTTCAGAGCGATTATTTGGTAGGAAAATTCACAATTTATCTCAAATTAAGTTTTTTCTAACAAAAATGACCTCAACACCCTGCGACTCTATTGGTAATTATTAAATCCGCTCTTAATTCCCTTCAAAAATAAGTGTAGAGAATGGCCCCCGTAAACTGAACATTACACACTTTTGTATTTGACCCCCAGCCGCCCATCATCAATTACTTACCGATTAGGATATAATTTGGCATATTTGGTTTGCCACAACGAAGCAAAGGATCCGCCATATTTTTTAATATAACCATGTAAAATGCAATCGGATTCCTTTTCATCGGCATCGAAGTGTTGCTTTTGTTTGGCTTTTTTCTTTTGTTCGATTTTATCCGTTTCCTGGTTGATGGTCTCGTAAACGGTTTCTATCACTTCCTGTTGCCATCTGCAGGGAGAAAAATTATGATTATTTAAATTTTTTTCGGGAATGTATACATATTGATCTCTTACCTTTCTGATATTGTCAGATTGAAATTTTTATACAGTTCCTGATCGGATTCTGTTAATTTAATGCCCTTGGTATCTTCTTCATCAAATGAACCAATATCAAAGGCATCAGCAGCATTGACTTCGCCTCTCGGTGGTATTAATGGTGGTGTATATTTATGCATATAGACCTGATGCCAATCTATGCCCGAAAAGAATGGATGCGATTTGACTTCTTCGGCCCTAGAATTTTTTTAAATAAAAATTACAGGAAATTAATTGGCATTTGTTTTACAATTGAGAAGATGGCGGGAATTAAAACGACACTATACCCATTACCCATGCAACCGAGACGTTTGTCAACATCTCTTTGTAGCAGTAAATCTAATAAATCTTTCAGTTCGGGACTAAACGTATCGGGAAGTTCTACGTTCTGCACCGGCACAATACAAAAGTGGTTAGTGTTTTTTTGGGGTGTATTTTGGTGTGGTATATTTTCGAATGAACAAACAAATGAATGAAGGGTTTTAATTCAAAAAACATGAGTGGATATTAAATCATTTAAACAATACACACCATGGTTAGGGTCATTTTATCAATTTCATGTTTATCTTTGGTTTTGTGCTGTCGAAATGGTGAATGGCCCTTGAGTAGTTTGTACAACATGCAACCGAAACTAAACCAATCCGCACAGGAATCATAGGCAGTACCCTTTGACAAGACCTCTGGTGCCATATACCCGTGTGTACCCACCGATGCATGGGGTTTTTTGCGTGAAAAATCACATGCCAAACCCAAATCGGAAATGCGTATGTGGCCGTTTTCGTCTAGGAGAATATTGGCTGGTTTTAAGTCTCGATAGACAATGAAACGTTTGTGCATGTGTTCCAGACCCAATATGACCTGAAAGGGAAGATCATTTTATTAAAATCTTTCTGAGGAAAGTGTGGAGAAAAAATCACTACTCACCTCAGCTGCATAAAATTTCATTTCATCCTCATTGAATACACCATGCTGTGACAAATGATAGTGTAGATCGCCACCATTCATTAAATCCAAGATGAAACACAACTTATCTGGTGTATGAAATGCATATGTCATGCAAACAATAAAAGGGCAGTCGTTCTAAAAAATAAAATAAAAATTAAAAACAATTTCTTGAGAGTTACTTAAACATTTTTCCACTGGAAAAAAACCTAC